AAATCAATGTTAAATTCTTAGCCGTCCGAAATCCAGTCTACCAGTGTACATTTAAATAGAACGTCGCGATCAATTCTAATAAATTTAATTGTTCTACTGGATCGCACGCCGCGATTTGTAGAGGTACAAAGTTATTTGTGTTAAGTATGAGGTACAAAATTATTTAAAAACTAAATTTAAATATTTTTTTGAGGATATTTCAAAAAAAATGTGTGTATCGGTAGGTACAGTTTTGAAAGAGCAACAAATCTTGTTGAAATAAGGGAAAAAATAATTCAATTTTCTGCTAAAATTACACCCCAGCTCAGTAATATGAGATGACATCTGTATGACAGGTTTGGCTATTGTTTAGCAGAAAGCGGTGGACTATTTTTTAGAGTTCTTTTATTTTCTGTTTTAAAATAATCTTTAAGTTTATTTTTGGAGTTTTCTTTTTATTATTTTCTTAGAATTTACTTTCTTTTTCAAGCCATTGTGGCAAAAAGACATATCTACTACATAATTCTATTTTATTATTAGTGATATTTTTTCAATAAATTATCGTTTAAAAATTCTCATTTCTTTTTAATCGACTCGACGTTCACCCATCCGAATCAGTTTTGATACTGTCGAAGTGTCGAAACCGTCGAAATTATTTGATTTTTAATCTAACCGAACCAAATCACGTTGTGAAGTCCAGTAGAACAATTAAATTTATTAGAATTGATCGCGACGTTCTATTGAAATGTATACTGGTAGACTGGATTTCAGACGGCTAAGAATTTAACATTGATTTCCCTATTATGCGCGAATAATTTTCCAACAGTGTATAATTGCAGGAATGTTCGTTTTTCTCGACGCCAGGACGATAAATAAGAATTTTTGTAATGTTCTCTACGGGTGGTCCTTTTTATTTTTTGTCGTGTGTAGGTACTCGGTTAACAAATTAGAGATCAATCGAGTCGAAAGGTCACGTATTATTGTTGTGTCGTTTCGTTATCGATGAATAGATCATCTGCGTTCGTTTATATTATGTAAAAAGGGCATGTCCATATTAGAAATGGTACTAAAAATCGTATACAGGGTGGCCAATTAAGATTGCGAGGTACTGTATCTGGGAAACTATGCATCGTAGAGGATTGCGGTAAAAAAAGTTATTACTAAAACGGGCAAGAGAAAAACCTGGAAAATATTTTCAAGTTTCTCAAATGGCCGCTAGGAGGTGTAACTGCAATATTGAAACTAAAAAAGTGATATTTCTATGAATTCCGCTATATTAACCTAACAAAAAAATACCAGATCTTTAAAGTCGAGTATAATATGAGCCTTTTTTGTTTAACAATTTTTGCTGTATCTCTAAAAATAAAGTAGTGAATGTTTTTCAAATGTTTCCCTAAAAAACACCCTGTATCTTCGAAACGGCTGAGCCGATTTGAACAAACTTGGACTAGTTGAAAAGAGCTATTTTTGGGCTACAAAAGTTATATTATTTAAAGTTTTGTTAGATTCACGTGTCGCTAGTAGAGCGCTTTTTTCGACATTCCGACAGAAATGGTTAATTTTCTCAAAAAAATTAAATGCATTGGTATGATTTTTTTTCCATGAATAATTAGCTAAATGATACCTAAACAAGCTCGCGAAAACCGCATCTCGATATCTTGTTCCTAATCTAAAATTTAGCCCAAAGGAAATTTTATACGAAAATTCCTTGTAGTATTTGTCTTCTTCAATAAATTTCAATATTTTCAAAAAAAAGTGTTTAATTTTTGTTAAAAAAAAAAGAAAATTAGTTAAAAAAAATATAAAAATTTAAGGAAGTATTTGTCTTCTTCAATAAATTTCAATATTTTCAAAAAAAGTGTTTAATTTTTGTTAAAAAAAAAGAAAATTAGTTAAAAAAAATATAAAAATTTAAGGAAGTATTTGTCTTCTTCAATAAATTTCAATATTTTCAAAAAAAAGTGTTTAATTTTTGTTAAAAAAAAAAGAAAATTAGTTAAAAAAAATATAAAAATTTAAGGAAGTATTTGTCTTCTTCAATAAATTTCAATATTTTCAAAAAAAGTGTTTAATTTTTGTTAAAAAAAAAGAAAATTAGTTTAAAAAAAATAAAAATTTAAGGAATTTCCGTATATAATTTTCTTTAGCCTAAATTTAGGTTAGGAACAAGATATCGAGATGTGGTTTTCGCGAGCTTGTTTAGGCATCATTTAGCTAATTATTCATGGAAAAAAATCATACCAACACATTTAATTTTTTTGAGAAAATTAACCATTTCTGTCGGAATGTCGAAAAAAGTGCTCTACTAGCGACACGTGAATCTAACAAAACTTTAAATAATATAACTTTTGTAGCCCAAAAATAGCTCTTTTCAACTAGTCCAAGTTTGTTCAAATCGGCTCAGCCGTTTCGAAGATACAGGGTGTTTTTTAGGGAAACATTTGAAAAACACTCACTACTTTATTTTTAGAGATACAGCAAAAATTGTTAAACAAAAAAGGTTCATATTATACTCGACTTTAAAGATCTGGTATTTTTTTGTTAGGTTAATATAGCGGAATTCATAGAAATATCACTTTTTTAGTTTCAATATTGCAGTTACACCTCCTAGCGGCCATTTGAGAAACTTGAAAATATTTTCCAGATTTTTCTCTTGCCCGTTTTAGTAATAACTTTTTTTACCGCAATCCTCTACGATGCATAGTTTCCCAGATACAGTACCTCACAATCTTAATTGGCCACCCTGTACACTTTTAAGCTATAGAATGTCCAGGATGATGAAACTAGGAATTGGAATTAATAGGATACAAATACTCGGATGCATATTCACGAGAATAACAATCAATACGTTATTTAATTATTCGTTTGCATTAAGAATAAAATCTGTTTCGCTTTTACTTTGAGCATGATGTCATTGCACGTAGGTGGTATTATATTTTAATCAGTTTAATGAATAATTATACAGGGTGTTGTTCGTGAGTTCTTGTAGAAGTCACAAGGAAATCAATATTGTAATAATCTTCGAGACCTCGCGAATTTGACTCCTACATGTGTAAAAAAACGACCAGTGGAATTTTTAATGGAGCTCTTGAATTTAATTCTATTTATTCAAAACACACAGAATAAAACCTGATAGGATCTCGGTTATTTAAATTGCTGCTATTAGCGCTTTTTGAATTCCTTTATTAAGCATGTTATATGTACGTAATTCGAAACCGATGGAATGTTTTTCGATAATCTTATTTATACAGGGTGGTCATCTAAGAATGGCTCTCGGCCATATCTCGCAAACTAATTGTCGTAGAGACTTGTGATAAAAAATCTTATGACTAAATCGGCCAAAAGAAAATGCTGGAAATAATTTTTAGGTCTCTAAAATGGCCGCTAGGGGGAGTATCCGCCATCTTGATTTTTAAAAGTCATTTTTTTTCAAAATTTTCCTAAATAAAGGTATCAAAAATGTGGTTTATTTTGATAGTTAAGATAATTTCGATTATTTTTTGTTATATATTTTTGACTCGTTTTGACTCATTTGACTCGTTTTTGACTTTTTGACTGGTTTGTTTTATTTTCCACGGTATGGTTATTTCGTTTGTTCTCAACTAGTGCGAATAAAATGGAAATCCAATAATTATTAAATTAATATTACTTAGCTTGGTGTTTCTAAATATCATACTTGAAGATTATTAATAAATTGATTATTTTTGTGGATGGAACAACGCTAATTAGAGCCTTTTATATTGGTAGTGCACCAAAAATTACCCATTTTCTTGATTTTTTTCTTTTTTTAGATATATTTTAGGTTAGGAAGGGGGTATCGAGATGCGGTTTTCACAGGCTTGTTTGGCAATTATTTGACTATTTTACTCCAAAGAAAAAGTTATATCGTTGCATTAAAATTTTTTGAGAAAATCGGTGTTTTTGGAAGTAATGTCGAAAAACGCCATCTTGCGGCCAAGCAAGCAATTAAAATAATATCTTATATAGTGTAAATTATAGACCAAAGAAAGCCCATTTCAACAATTTCATTTTTTTGAAAATTGGTTTAGCCGTTTTAAAGTTATTAACATTTATTAGTCAAAATATTCAAACCACCCCCACCACTTTATTTTAAAAGATAGGGTCAAAAATATATAACAAAAAATAATCGAAATTATCTTAACTATAAAAATAAAACACATTTTTGATAGCTTTATTTAGGAAAATTTTGAAAAAAATGACTTCTAAAAATAAAGATGGCGGATACTCCCCCTAGCGGCCATTTTAGAGACTTAAAAATTATTTCCAGCATTTTCTTTTGGCGATTTAGTGATAAGATTTTTTATCGCAAGTCTCTACGACAATTAGTTCGCGAGATATGGCCGAGAGCCGTTCTTAGAGGACCATCCTGTACAATAAAAAAAAAAAACTTGTAAACTTCGTCTTCGTTTTCGCTTAGAAAAATTCGCGCATAATTTTTAATCGATTACGAGATCTTTTTGTAGTGTATAAATCGGAATAAATCGAGCAAGTGTTTTATGTAATTGTGAACATTACACTTATTATAGCATTTCAACGATCTCTCCCATTATGTATACGAATAAGTACCAGCAACTATTTCCATTATTTTTTTGAAAAGGATAATTGCCGGTGTTAAATCGGTAAGTAGGTAAAGCACTTGAAACGGTGACGAAACGAATATAATAAGGTTTCTGCGTAACGAATCGCTATGACAATTTACTTAAAAGTCCTCCACACAAGCGTTAATTTATTCGAATCGAATTGAAACGAAACGAAAGTATATCCCATACAGCTGACTCATCAGTTTCAACTACTGGATTCGTTCCCACCGCCTTCCATTCTAATCTTCAATCTTCATCGAATTGTAGCCATGCGACTCGACGTTTTTGGGATTAATTAATTGACCCTTTATTACATCTATTAGGTGCCATTGAAAATGCTATGCGGTATTGTAAATATACTGGATTGTATATTACATTTTTTTAGAGGCGCCGGATTAATTTGAAACATGTATTTTCCAGGGCGTTCAAATCAAGGAAGTGGATATCGGCCAGTCCTGCACGGAATGCAGTAAATGCACGGAAGGTTACGAGCCGCATAAATGGAGGTACGTTTTATCTATTCGTAGTTTTCAGCGAGGAAAAAATTAAATATACAGTGCATTTCTTTAATGTCCCCCCCCCCTCTTTTATTTTTTGAACTCATCAACTTAGAAAATTGAAATTTGGGATAATGAAACTAATGCATGATTACTATATTTTGGAGTCAAATTGACAGATGAAAATTTCAAGATGGCGACTGGGCGCCATCTTGAGAAATAAATTTAAATGGAAAGGGGGGTCTTGTGATACATCATTTTGAAGCTCCTGATAAATACTCTACAACCCTGGAATATAAAGTCAATATCTGCACCTGCTACAAAATGGCGGACATTTAATAATTACCTGAATACATTGACGTTTAACGTCATAATTTGAGGAAATAAGCTGAGTTCAGTTCAAAAAATGCTCGAAAAGTTGCCTTGAACTTCTTGATATAAGAACAGCCTATCCGAACATTTTCGAACATAGTAACGTCGATGTTTCTACAAATATCTGTAATTATTTCTCGTATATCCAATATTGAAGCAGGTTCAGTTTCGTACACTTTTTGCTTCAAATAGCCCCATAAAAAAAGTCAAAAGGTGTCAAATCTGGCGAGCGGGCTGGCCATTCCGTGGGACCTCGACGACCAATCCAACGACCAGGGAAAATAGCATCCAAATAGTTCATTACTTGTCTGGAGTAATGTGGTGGTGCTCCATCTTCCAATGGACGAGAATTGGCCATTTTAGAGTTGTACCTAACTACAATGAGAACTAAACAACCGAAAACTAAATGAAAATACTTTGAACACTAGGAAATCGAAAACTAAAGAGAATATTTTGAACACTAGGAAAACCAAAAACTAAATGAGAATATTTTGACTAAACAATTAATGTTGGTTGTCGTACTTAAATTTTTTGGAATTTTTTTAACCAAAAATAACCTGTCAAACCTTATCGGTTTGATGGGATTGCTATTTGCCTTAGAAAAACAAATGTTTCTAGAAAAATTGATATTAATTTGTTTGTATTCAGGTAATTATTAAATGTTCCGCCATTTTGAAATGGGTGCAGATATTGACTTTATATTCCAGGGTTGTAGAATATTTGTCAAGAGCTTCAAAATGATGTGTCACAAGACCCCCCTTTCCATTTAAATTTATTTCACAAGATGGCGCCCAGTCGCCATCTTGAAATTTTCATCTGTCAATTTTACTCCAAAATATAGTAATCATGCATTAGTTTCATTATCCCAAATTTTAATTTTCTAAGTTGATCCGTTCAAAAAATAAAAGGGGGGGACATTAAAGAAATGCACTGTATAAAAAAGTTGTGCTAGCTTAACGTTAAGCTGGCACAACTCTTAATAGAAAAAAAATATGAATGCACAAAAATCGCGGATAGCGCACAAAAATTGCACATAATTTGCACATAATTTTGACATTAGTTTAATTCAAATATTTCAATAAATAAAAAAGTTGTGCTAGCTTAATGTTAAGCTGGCACAACTCTTAATAGAAAAAAAAATATGAATGCACAAAAATCGCGAATAGCGCACAAAAATTGCACATAATTTGCACATAATTATAGACCTAATACAAATAAATTGTGCTAAAGTAGTTGTGCTAACTTTATGTACCTAAAAAATTAAGCGATCGCTCGTTTCGATTTTGATATAAATTCGAATATTTGCGATTCGGTCGAGCGAGTTTATTCGGTTTTCGGGTCATATTACTTTTCCTACTCCAGTCGAATCGGGTTGAATGGAATGAAGCGAAGAAAAAAATCGCGGACGAATTATTATTCGGATTATCTGTAGACCGAAGCAAAATTCAACCGAGTAATACAATAGCTGATTAAACAAACAATGATTCATTTTTCAAAGACAATTTGTTACTCTGAACCGTCCTTATCGCGTTTTCCAGAAACCAACAAACCGTTCGGTTTGGATTTTTTTTTTGGATGTTAGATTAAAAAGTTTTGGTTATCGCGCGTAAATAATATCTGTTGTAATTTATATAAATCGATTCTATACTTTGTTGTTCGAGAAAATATCGGTTTTATTGACAGTTTACGATTGCATGCGCTACAATAGACCTATTCAGTTTAACCTTGATTTGAGTGTTACCAATTCCCAAATATTTTTTCCCCCAAATTCAAGTTGATATTCCCCTAAAACCGAAAATCCCTTACAACCAAGAACCAAGAAAAAAAGACACTCTTGACAGTGACAAGCAATAACAACAATAGACCTATTCAGTTTTACCTGTGCTGCGCGCGCATACTGTGGACAATTAACTTGACATCTAAACGAACAAACGAACGCACCTCAGGTACAATACGGTTCTGACAACCAGACAACGACAACTTACGACATACTTCAGACGTCATTTGTCATTATCCAATAATCCGTCGGATTTAATTTGTAATGGACGCGATGACTCAATACAAATTTGTTTTTACTGCCCAGAAAGGGGATTAGGCTTAATATTTACATACAGGTCAAGTCTAAGAAAGTGTAAGAGGGTTAGTACAAAGTTTCCGAAAATGCTTTTTGATCGGTTTGCTATATTATATATTTCAAAGAAATAATCCCATTGACCTATATAAAAAATTATAACCTTTATAAATAAATATACTAAATAATACCAAGAAATACTGTTAAAAAATAATACACACTGAACATAAACAAACATCAAACGGAAACAAGCAACAAAATAGGGTTATGATTGAAGATGGTCTCTTCTTTTTTATATTTAAAACAGTTTTCATCTAAGAATCATTCAATGTGTCTGTCAATCAGCAATGAAATAGGCCAAATATCTCATCTCTCTTGCACTTATGTTTGCGCAGATTTTAAATGGTTCCACAGATTGCGCGTGAAACATATTTGCTTCTTTTATTCTCTTATGTTGATCAAATAACTCCATCACTCTCTTTCGTAAACTGAATAGGTCTATAGCGTTGTATCGCAATTATTTATTGCTCGAGTTATACATTATTTTTTCGTTAATACATTTACCTAACGGTAGAACGTATTTCATGTTGTAATTAAACCAATTTGTCGGTATATCAACGAAGGCAATAATAATATTAAAGTCGATTTTATTAACGGCAACCGATGATGGTTATCTGCATGATACCGCAAAACGGTCAATTAATAAACGGCTTTATTGCTCGAAATAATCATTTCTGACTGTTCCAATCGGCGAATCGAGCTCTCGAGAAATCCTCAACCAGCGACCGAGGAGAAATTATTGCGTATAAATAAATCCGCGCGGAGCATTTTCATAAAATCGTCGGCGATTATTTATACAGGGTGTTTCACAACTTATCCGACAAATTTTAACCACATATGCACTGTTACGAGAGAAGTTAATTTCCCAAAAAAAATTGTAATAAAAGTCTTACAGAAATCGAGATAATAAAATAATAGTTTAACAGTTCAATTACTTATACAAGATGTTCAAAATTGTTCCCATTTACTGCAATGCAAGCTTAAAGTATTAAGGCAAAATTATGAACGCAAAATGCAGTATTTATTTTTCAATTTTTTATTGAAACTCGGGTTTATAATTTTATTTCTGTAGGACTTTTATTACATTTTTTTGAGATTTCTCAAAGAAAGAGAAGTTGATTTCTCAAAAAAAATGTAATAAAAGTCCTACAGAAATAAAATTATAAACCCGAGTTTCAATAAAAAATTGAAAAATAAATACTGCATTTTGCGTTCATAATTTTGCCTTAATACTTTACTGTAGCAAATGTTACACCAAAACAATGGTTAAAACAAAAAAAAACAAGCACCCAAACTTGCATTGCAGTAAATGGGAACAATTTTGAACATCTTGTATAAGTAATTGAACTGTTAAACTATTATTTTATTATCTCGATTTCTGTAATACTTTTATTACATTTTTTTTTGGGAAATTAACTTCTCTCGTAACAGTGCATATGTGGTTAAAATTTGTCGGATAAGTTGTGAAACACCCTGTACGTGAAAGGATATTCCGCGAATTAGAAATGGTAACTGGAAACCCGTGCGTTGTGAATATCTGCATTTTTCGCATTTTTGCTAAACTTTCGTAATTAAAAATCGTACGGATAGTCGCTTTTACTCGAGCTATTCGTTTTATCGAGGAATTTTTTAATACGCCACAACCAATTCACAGTTGTAACACTTTAACACAATCAGTAATAAATTAAAAGTTATATGAAAACCGTACGGTTATCACTAATTTGTATACAAAGTAGTTTCTTAAATGAGAACGTTGACATTTTTTTTTACCTTTCCGTTTGAGCGAGTACGGGCCTGATATTAATTATAATTTAATTCTATAAATAGTAGACAACACACTTACGTTCTCTATTCGCCTGGTTGCCTAACTACTAGGTTATTTAGTTTAATAGTGATTTGGAATGATTCGATTTTTTAAAATTTTCTAGTAAAATATTTGATGAACTATTTTTCATAAAGAGAGAAAAACATTTATTAAAACTACAATATTTCTGTTAATTAATATTAAATTTGATGCATCTGCAGATTATTTTTTCATGCAAAAAATTACCTTGAAATAGCTATTAGTGACACGTCAATTAAAAGTTTTACTGTATTGTGAACTGGAAAATTCGTCGAAATTAATTAATCTATTTTCGCTCGGGCAATATTAGAAATTTTAATTGAACTGTCAACGTATCGGATGCATTAGTGTTGAAAATAAAATAAACACACATTCACGAACAAACGTCATTTTCAATAAATAATTTTATCAAATCATATTATTTGGTTTAGCAGATATTTGAAAATATCGAATTTTACACGACTGTAAACAAGTAAAATTGCTCATAGCGAATTCATATGGAAATTTTAAAACTTTTTCGAAAAATCGAGATTATTAAATTACTAACCATAATATTGATGCACCTAAATATTTTCATTCAACCTGAGTAATTATATTTATTGACAGTGATGTTAAAATTACTTTATAATATGTAATTAATTACAATTACAATTACTTTTGGCA